GGAGGAAAGGTGGGTGGATAGAAGGATAGGTGGGTCTGTGGGTGGATGAATGGATGGGTAGAAGACAGGAAGGCAGGAAGGAAGGCAGGAGGGAAAGCAGGAAGGGAGGCAAGCAGGCAGGAAGCAAAGCAGGAAGGAAGATTAAGGCCATAGATGAGAATGGTATCACTTTGGAAGATTATTTATTCTTCAATCTTGAAGAACAGCCGGAGAACTTTGCTCCATGTTTTGCCTGATTTCATGGAAGCTCATGACTGACATGAAATTAATGAGAGAGAAGGGAAAGAGCCCAGGGCTGCACCTTAAGGAACTCCAACATTTTGAAGCTTGTTGCTTCTCCTTGCCAAATCACCCTCCAGAGAGCCTGCCTCAGTTTTATATTCTTTCCACAAGGAATAAGAATAGAGGAGTGATTTTCAACCCTGGCGCTTCAACATCCCCCGCAGGATGCTTCCAAAGTATCCAGAAGGTGGGGTAACATTCTTAAAAAGCACAAGCAAAACCAACATTAATTTTGATGTAGGAACCTTCCCCTCATCATATAGCAGAGAGTGTTACTGTTATTGCAATCAAGGCAGAGTCGTGAGCTTACTTGAAATGCGGTAAAACATGGAGCAGAGTTCTCGTTGTTCTTCAAGACCGGAACTAAAACAAAGACCCTGATTTCCATCCTGGTAATAACAGAGCCAAGCTACGTGTGCACTGTCCCCTTCCCACTCCCAAGACCATTTTAGTCATCTAGACTAAGTCCATAAATCTAGGCATATATTACTGTTAAGAAATGTGGGTTGCTGTCAGTGGTAATGGCTCATGCCTGTGATCCCAGCAACTTAGGAGGCTGAGGCAGGAAGATCATTTAAAGCTAGAAGTTCAAGACCAACCTGGGCAATGTCATGAAACCCCTCATCTCCAAAAAAATAAAAATAATAATAAATTAGCCAGGCATGGTGGCACAGGCCTGTAGTTCCAGCTACTCATGAGGCTGAGCCAGGAGGATTCCTTGAGGCTAAGATTTCGAGGCTGCAGTGAGCTATGATTATGCCACTGCACTGCAGCCTGTGTGACCCAGTGAGAACCTGTCTATAAATCAATCAATCAATCAATCAATAAATGCAGATTGTAAAGTTAAGCTTTCAGGCCAGTAATTCCAGAAAAGCTAAGGAAGACTGATTTTAGGCAGCATTCCTCAGACCAGCCATTTCATTCTGACTTCATAGAGTCGGGAGATTTGAAGGACATTAAGCAGGTCTCTGCAGAATCCCTCCCTGGTTAACACGCACCCTGGGTCAACAAGAAGGGGAAAAAGAAAGCAGTATTTCCCAACTACTGGTCCCCTTTCTTGATGCCCTTACCCCCACCCCCGCCCCCAGCTAACCTCTTGGAATGATGTTCCACGAAACACTCGTTGGGGAAACGGTGGTTTGCTGCCTACATATTCTGTGATTACAACTAAAAGAATGGAGAATAACAGAAAGGTTGGTAAGCAGGGCACATCTTTTGTCCACTCAGCAGAAGAGGAAGTTGATGGTAAAAGGCATTTTCTCTTCCAGTACAAGCAATATTACGTCAAGTGCCCAAAAGACTGAAAGAACAGGGTGAGCTAGAGTATGCCCCATATTCTCTACTCTTGTACCTAATTCCTAGCCCAGGGCTAGTCCAGGAGGAGGATCGGGAAGAGGAAGATGAGGAGGAAGGATGGGGAGGGGGAGGGACGAGGAGGAAGGAGGAAGGTGATGATGACGGTGATTATGGTAACAATGACAGTCATTCATCACTGAGGACTTGTATTCTAGATACGGTTCTCAGCATTTTTTATACATGATCTCATTTCATCCTCACAATAACTCTATGAGTTAATAATTTGCCCATTATCTTCATTTTGGAAAAGAGGAAACTGGCTCAAAGCTGGTTTTCTGATTACTCCACCAGGATAAGGTGATTCGAGGCACTTCACGTTACAGAGGCTGACAGGGAGTCCCCAGTCTATTCGTCGCCATCCCGCACACTCCCCGGAGCCGCCTGCATTTCTGGCTCCGAAGAGAAGGGTAGAAAGCACGGGTTGTTAACTCCTCCTGGGGACTTAGCACTGTGTTAGGTGTTTCACACGCATTGTGTACTTTTATCCTCCCACCTACCCAGGGAGGCACGTATGATTACCGTCTTTATTTTATTTATCTTTTTTTTTTTTTTTTTTGAGTGAAAGTCTTGCTCTGTTGCCCAGACTGGAGTGCAGTGGCATGATTTCAGCTCATTGCAACCTCCACCTCCCAGGCTCAAGCGATCCTCCCACTTCAGCCTCCCAAGTAGCTGGAACTACAGGCATGTGCCACCATGCCACCTAATTTTTGTGTTTTTTTGTAGAGATGAAGTTCCGCCATGTTGCCCAGGCTGGTCTCAAATTCATGGGCTCAAGCAACCCACTCAACTCCCAAAGTGCTGGGATTACAAGGCGTGAGCCACAGCGCCCAGCCTGTATTTTAAAAGTAAAGAAACTGAGACACAGTAATGTTAAAAAGTTGCCCGGGGTCACACAGCTAGTACATTAGGGCTAGGACTCAAACGGAGGTCTTCGTGACCCTAACACTTGTGTCTTCCCTATGACCCCTGCCTCTTCACCCCCACCCCCTACACACATACACAC